CCTCGCCCCTGTTTTTTCTTTCGTTAGGAGGCTGTGTGAATATTGAAGGGAAGGAAGAGAATTCAAGAGGGAGGAGAGGGGGGGAGGGAAGGGGGGGAGGGAAGGGGGGAGGGGGAGTAAGGGAAAGAAAGAGCGTGAATTCAAACTTACAACTCAGGTTAGAAAATCAGGGGTTGGTTCGTTGACTCGGAGACCGATGACCCAACCAGCGATATTCAGCCCGGATATGCAGGTACGAGTGAACAATAGCGGCAATCTTGGGAAGAAAAGAGGTTGGGGATGCAAGAGGGGGTAAAGAATGTGGTGAAGGGGGAGGAGGGGAAGGGAGGAAAGAGAAAAAGGGCCTCAAGAGCAGGAGGAAGAGAGAGGAGGAAGAAAGGGTCGAGCAGTACTCGAGTATTGAGGGTCCAGCCACTTCTTGCCTTCGAAAGTGAGAGGGCGGGACCACACGTAGACTAGATCACGGAGGGCTTGACGGGGTTGGGGGGGAAACAGCCAGACCCGCCAACACATCCACCAATCCCAGCCAGTTTAGTTGTCCCGAATAGGCAATCCTCAGACTAAAGCTGTCGAGGCAACCGAGGTGGGGTTGGCCTCGACAGGGGTTTGTCCTTAACCAGCCTCTGCGTTTTTCCCTTCAAAAATTTGAGCCAGTTTCCCGTGTCCTTCAGCGCTTTTTTAAATGCATCGTTGTACTCGAGCAGGAAGAGGAAGCAAGAGAAGCTGCGAAGAAAAAAAAGACGAACAGGGACAATCTTCCAGTGACGTGGGAATTGCGTTTTGCACTTGAACAGCCTGTTCTTCGCGGGGATGGTTCTTTTTTTTCTTTCTTTCTTTCTTTTTTTTTTCTCCCACCCGACCTGTGCCAAACATTGCCCGAGTGGATATTTTAGGATTACCGTAAATTGACCCATAAGGCTTAAAAAGGTCAATCGGTAGAATAATTTTACTTTGCTGGACTTGAATGCAAGCGCGCTCACACTCAACAACTTCCCGCTCAATTCCAACCACTCCCACTAAAAGCACTCTTTTGTTGAGTCTGCCGTATCGCATCAGCTAGAAGTGCTGGAACACAGTTGTCTGCCAAGAAAGCAATAACTGTACTCGAGTACCACCGAACCGCACTCGCACGTGTTGCCTATTCCTTTCAAAAGATCTCTGCTGGTTGTGCCCATCCCAAGAGTTTCGTATTGGCCGCAGGTACAAGTGCACGGAAGATGTAGTCCCGGCAACCGTGCTACCACAACAAGGCCGCAAGTAATCGGTGAACCTCAGCCGGAGCCTGCATCAGAAAAGGCCAAAAGGTGCAACGGGTAGGGTATCAAGAGCATGCAACCAGCTCTCTTGGTAAGGTGGAAACATCAGCCGGTTAAAACACCGGCGCGCCTTCCGGTGGGTTGATTCCCTCCCTGTTTGAAGAGAAGTCTCTTACTAACCCATGTATGACACTACTACCGGCACGGTAGGGCTCGCCCATCGCAATAATTTCGCGAGTGATACTCAATGCTTCACTCGTACGCTAATGCGGTAATGTGTTGTCAACCTGACCAATCGTACTCTTACCTGGACCCCCCCCCCCGCCTCTCCACTTTTCAAGTATCATACAAGTACCCCACCGGAGCGCATTACAGCGCGAAGCCTGGGGAAAGTGACAAAAAACTCCTGTGGCTGGAGGAAAGCGCACCCGGTAAATTGTCACTGTTTGAGATTTACAGAACCAAGTCGCTGCGCTCTAACAATGGCTAACGTAAGGAGTCCCCCCCCCTCCCCATCCTGAATTATTGATACTTTAAGGGATGGGATGAGGATCCAATGCATACCGGTACTGTACATACGAAATGACTATTTCAGTTGTCTGCGGATCTGATGCTTTGGTCGGTTCCTGCTCCTGATGGGATTTTCGGGGTCTGATGTGTGGAAGAGGGTTTTCTCTGGAAGGAAGGAAGGGGAAGAAAAAAAAAAGGGTGGCAGGTGGTCCGCGCGTGAGGTGATAAATTGTACGGGTGCTAAATTTAGTTTGCTCATCGGGTCCTGCAGTATCATAACTGCAACCTACCGCACCTGTACGAGTATCGTACCGGTACTATCATACGGTATTGGTCTTATCGGTTCCGGTGAGTTCCGGGGGAGTGGGTTGTGTGAGACATGCACAGATTAGTGTGATAGCACATTTCGTGATCTGATCTGAATATCGGCAGCATAATCAAATCACAATTGAAGTACGGTATGATATGATAAAAATTTCTCAGCTGGCTTACAGTAATGCTGCTATATATACATTCCAACCAAGTGAATAAATGAATCTACACCTTCGCATACTGTAGCTCAAAACCTCTTCCTGCGCCCCCTCCATTTTTGCATAAATCCCCCCGTTCCTCCCCCTCCAAGAGGGAGGGAGGGGGAGGGAGGGGGCCCTCTTCGCGTACTGTGGACGCGAGGTATACTACGGTACTCCAGGGAATAACCATGGGCGAAGGTATTCTCTGTGTGCGCCTACCTGGTCGGCAGGGGCAGAGACTTGATTATTCGCTCCGAGACTATGGAGGAATTGGTTTTTCGGACTGAGAAACTGGTGGGGAGAAGGGGGTTACAAGTCGCTGGAAGAGCAACAACGCGCAGCCATGTCGAATATAAGGCGCTTGGGGAGTTTGCCTACCAAATAATCACTACTCAATCCAGCTAACGGCCTTCCAAACGCCATCCTAAGAATCAGCATCTCTGTGAGGATAATCCCCTACTACTTTGTTCCTACGCTAGCGGTGTAACACCCTGGAGGAAATGGCATAGCGAATAACCCCGCATCCCCAGCCAATGGCTAGCTGAGATCCCCCCGCCACTGAGAGAGCCTGTAACCCAAAACTTGCGGGTTCGGGTTGATGACTCCGTTCCGGTCCCGGATTTGCAGCGTCCACATCGGATTAACGACACCGGTGCATATGACCACCGCCTAGAATGTCCGTGCTACTCCCGTTTTTGAAATTGTTTACCGAATGATTCTGGAGCAGACTAACCTCCCGATCCTACTTTCCGCCGTGATTCCGCTTCCACCATCCTCATACAGCACTGTACGCTTCTTTGTCTTGGGATTGAGCTGCTGGGCTTGCGGTCAAACTCTGGGACAAGGGGCTGGATGCTGGAACCCCTCCTACCGAGCCTGTGGTCCGAACAGCTTTGAAGGGTGGTGGATTGTGTGCATTGGTGGTGAAATGCCGTAACCCATTGACATATAAAAGGTTAGACGCAGCTTCCGTCTCGAGACATGTATATAACCCTCTAGGGAAAAAGGCTTATGATAGGCAAACAAATATTACTGTTATTGTTCTATTATGAGGCCTCACCATCGCCCCTAAAATCTTCAATAGCTTTACAGGTAAACCACAGGGGATATCGCATGGATATTGTATCTTCGAGGAGAGCGGGGGGGGGCGATATTCCGTGAGGCTAAAGAGCGAACCAACTCATCCCGCTTAAACTACAGTTACTGTTTGTTTGCAATGGCACAGTGGATGTGGGTTGTAAGTATCCACCGTGAATATTCCAACTAGGCACCTGCAGTCCTTCCGTTGTCGAAAATCTTGCGGCACTAGGAGCCACCGGCCGTAGACTCCTGCGCGCAGTTGTCAGATCACAGAAGTATTAGTCTATGGGCTGTTGGATCAAAAGCTAAAGCCTCTCATAGAACGCAAAGGAAACCAACCGTGGCGCAGTACAGTGGCGCACAGCACATGACCCATCATAGTAAACATCCCTTGGTCGCCACATCTACCGTACTATAAAACCCAAACCATTTCTCCATTCCCCCCTCCTCCCTACTCGAGTATTCCGACCCGCCGAACCTGCCTCGCATCACACATCACGCACAGGGGAGAGAAAAAGAGAGAAATAACGACGGTCATGCCAATCCCCCTCTTTACCACCGAAAAGCCTTCCAACTCTGAGGCTGCCCAGTCACCTTCCCAAGCGGCGCTGGCTTCGGAAACATCCCAGTGCACGGACGCAGTTAGTGGTGATACGACCACTGCTACTAGTACGAGAGAGCCTGGGCGTAGGAGCTCTGCCGAACGGACCAGGAAGGGGGAGGAGGAGGCTGCGGATAGGGCTTATCTGGAGAGGATGGAGGAGGAGTATGCTAAGAGGGAGGGGGGTGCTTGATCGAAATCTGGGGTTGGGTCACTGTCGGAGGGAAGGAGAGAGGGATGTCGGAGGTAGTTAGGTTAGGGATACCGGTATCTGGCTTGGGGTTTTTCTTTATTTTATGCACTCGGGGGTTTCCCTCTTTACTACGTACTCGAGTAGGGTACCTCTCTACTCCCGGGTCTCAGGATAAGCCATAGCAATGAATGCTCTACCTTAGTCTATGATAGTCGATAGTCTACCTTCCTTCGGAGGTTATGCACCGTGATGGTTTGGCGTTCGGGCGTCGCGGTTTGGGAGTCGAGTTGTCGGTTACGTCATTTTCCGAGCCAGCAACAACCAAAAGGGTAGATGAGAAATGGCTGGAATCTGATTGGCTTGAACCCTGGAGCCTCCACCATTACCACCGGTATCATGCCCTGAGAACAAGGCCCTTCCCTCCATTAGCATTTAATGGGTTGGGGGGTCCAGACCCTTTGCCATTCACTGGTATCGCCTGATAGGACAGATCTTGACCGCACTTTGGTATCTTGGCTGCTTACCGGTAGTTGTACGAGTAACATTTTCTTCTTTCCTCGCCATCTGGCGGGGTCTCGCCACTGAGAAGAACTTTACACCACAACCACCATCACCACCACTTGTTCCTCCTCCTCCTCCTATATAATGCTATTATTATTGTCGTGAATCAAGTTCAATTAACCCCCATCCCGTCACCACCACTTCTTATGAGCACGTCTTGGTAAACACCGACAACAACACCACTACCACCCAGCACAATAACGTTATCATACGGACCGAACAATGGTATTGGTATGCATCAAAAACCTCCTCTTCCCACATTGGAAACCTACCACTTCACACACGTCTCCACCTCCTCTTCTCCCTACGCACACCAAAACCTACGGAACCTCCGACCCCTCCTGTCCGAATCCCACATGTCCCCTCCTCTCCCGGAACCCTTCCTACGAGTGCGCCTCCACCCTCACCGCCGACTCGCAAGGCGAACCAGAGCCGGAAAAGGAGTCCGCAGCAGGCGTCATCGACCCGAGAGTTTTGTCCGATCTTACGATTGGTTTGTCCGATGGATTGACAGTCCCATTCGCTCTTACGGCCGGGCTATCCGCATTTAACGATACAAAGGTAGTCCTTTACGGTGGCATCGCTGAGTTGATTGCTGGAAGTATATCGATGGGATTGGGAGGGTGGTTGGCGGGTCGTGGCGAAGCGTATGATATTTCTCCTCCCCCCTTCTCTTCCCTGGAAACATTGCGATGATGACCGACCATGCTGCAGTGAATTCTACGAAAACACCCTAACTGCCACAAAAACTCTGATATCCACCCACCCAGCATCGATCCCGCCTCTCCTGCACTCGATTTTCTCGCCCTACAACCTCCCACCGGAATCGCTCTCTCCCATAGTCCAGAGCCTGACTAAATCCCCGCACCTCGCCCCCTTCATAATGCAATTCCATCACAAACTCCCCCCTCCATCCGACCGTACCCCGCTGAGTTCCGCTTTGACAATTGCTGCTGGATACTTCTTTGGCGGGTTCATCCCGCTTTTGCCATATTTCTTTGTCGGCAGGGGGAAGGTTCTGCTGGGGCTTGCGTGGAGCGTCGGCGTCATGGCGGCGAGTTTGTTTGCCTTTGGGGTTGGAAAGACGGTTCTTGTCGGGGCCGGTAGCGAGGGGGTGGAAGCCCGGAGCGAGGGTGGAGATGGGAGGGAGTGGAGATGGGGGAAGGCGGTTAGGGGTGGAGTTGAGATGGTGGTTGTGGGTGGGGTGGCCGCCGCCGCCGCGATGGGGATTGTGCAGGCTTTAGGGTAGGCGCTGGCTACTGGGTGGAGGGGGTGGAGCAAGGTTGCATTATTGTTATTATTGCTATTACTGCCACCATTACAACATTCACATTGCAAGTGCGTGGGGTCTCCGGCTTGTCATGGGCTATTGAATTTTCATTTTTCGTTCCCTCGTTTCTCGAAATCACTCTCATCATTTATTGGATCTTCTGGGTTAGTTAGATTTCTCTTATGATCATACTACAGGTTTCTTACTTCCTTAGTTAGAGAAAAGGGGCCAAGAACTCTTACTAAATCCGGGCCGGAACGTGAAGATCCATAACGCCCTCCATAAAGGCCAGATGCCGTAATGCCCCGAACGAGATTCTCACATCGTTATGAATATGTAGTAATGTAGCATCATACCCTCCTATTGTTAACATATCGATGCAGTGTACGCTGCCCGATGTGAATACCATATTAGGCCAGCCATCTTTCACCCGGGGCCCCGCAAATAAGTCAGATATATTCCGCATTGGTATTTCAGTTGTGCTCGGGTCGGCTCGTTCCTTTGACCGGGGTTTCTCATATTTATCTATTGGTGGCCAGCGCACTTGACTTCTCTTCTCAGAGGGTGTATTGTGTCAGCTCTCGCTTGCGATGCGCTTAATGCTCCGTAGTTTTCTGAGGGATCCTTTGCGGGGCGATCATGTTTGCAGTTTTGAGTGACGGGAATGAACCTCCTCGTGGTGAAAGCTGGTCCTCGCCGTCCGGCCGTTCATAGTAGCGCCTCCGCTGCTACAGGGTTGGAATGACAACGCGTCTTGAGAAATGTGGGGTTGTCGGGGTGGGGGCTTGGGGTATGGCGTTTATGGGGAAATTCTTTGATGTCGGGTAAATAGTGCCCGCAGACGCGCTCTTGCTTCAGCCTTATAATCATCTCTTATCACTCGGCTACCAATGTAGACTACGAATTCGTCTCCTAACGGGAAGAAAAATATATCTTCCACTCGATTTAAATGCAGTTTTACCTCTAAATCGTTGATTTCGATTTCGCCCTTGGAAAAGCCAGATTCGATTCCATCACTGAGTCCGAATAGACTCCCTTACGCACTGATGCTTGATGATTGAAGGCGGGACTGGTACCGACCTAGAAGAAGGGGGGAAGGGAGTGGATTTGGATTTATATATTGTGTCGGTGGGATGGGTATTGCTTACCGCACTGGCATCAGGTGAAATATGCATAAACGTCTGGAATGTGATTAAGATCTCGGGGAGAAATTGACCCAACATTTGTGAAATCAGCAGCCATCAAATTCCTCGGAGTATGGATCGTCATATGGTATGAAGAATTGAACCATCTGTTTCTTGTGGTGGGGGGGTTGAGGGATTATTCTGGGCTGTATAGTGCCCGGGGCGCTGGGGACACAGCGTCCCGAGGTGATCCTGGAGGGCGAAGGGGGTAGTCACTGAAAGGAAGGGAAGTGTTTATCACCTCCTTTCTTGGAACAGCGATCGCAAATTTCTGAGTGTGGGCACAATGGAGTGGTAAAGTTGCTATTAGAACGAGATTACCTAAATCTTGTTATACTTAGCCTCACTGGCAAAACACCCTTTGAAGCAGCTGCATCCTAGGAACATGGAGGTGTTGTGAAATTACTCTCCGAACTTAAACCTTCTGAGCTATTGACAATATTTAAAAACTTCCTGGTCAGGGCATGTGCGCGCCTTTCACTTTGTAATACCCTTCCTCACGGTCATGCTACTCCTCTTTTGGGACAGGAGAATACACTAAGCATAAAAACATCCCGATCATTCCATGGATGCCACTTATGTCTCTTTTCTCTATGCATGTCCCCATTTTCCTGCCTACTTTCACGGCAACAAGGGAAAGACAAGTTTAGAGAACATTCCCCATAAATTACAATAACTCCAGGACAAAAAAAATCAACTAAAACATTCCTAGAACCACTACGACTAACCGCGACTCACTATCTTTCTTTCAACTCTAAGATCATCTGAGTGATCAGTAACATTGCATAATCAACTAGTATTGTCTTTAAAATCTGCTTTTGTTATTTAATCCTAATCTTAAATTCTTTTAGAATTCTCCGTTGTTCTCGCAGGTTGATTGTTGACAGCTCTCAAGCCCGAGATCCCACCATCCCCCCCACTGCTCAAGCCCCTATACCAGTAGCGCAATAACAAAGTCTCAAATCGTAGAAACTTCCCGAGTCGCTGTGGTACCTAAATCCTTCTTGTTTCTCACACCTACTTCTGGTATCCCTTTAGCCCACCATACTATACCTCCTAGCACGGCACATAGCCCAGAATCTGTCTCTATTTATGCTTCGACGGTTCACCTGCGATAGTATATAGTCGGGAAACTGGATATGTGGGATCTACCAGATATCAGGAGGAATATAAGCGCATAAACCCTAGGCGGCTGGTATTCAGAAACAGCACAGTACTGTACAGCCCCGCCCAACTCGGACCACTCTTTACAGTAAAATCCCGATAACCTACTATCGTATCTAACCCCCTGGATGTGAGATTTACGATAGAAAACTCGGCAGGTTCCTGATATTGAAGTACATTGCGATACTAACTTACGGTCACCGGGAAGGGGACTTCTCAAAAAATACCTTATGTTAGTCATGCACCCCCCCGACAAATTATTTTACCGTTTCTACATTTAACCTACACTTTCGACGGAATATCATGGCCCAGACTGCGCATGTCAAGATCGGCGACGGAAATGCCCAGAGCGGCAACATAATAGGTAGCTTCAACATTTACAAGTCGGACGAGGATGCGCAGATTATGCGCTGGCTCTCTCCATTAGAGCCAAATAATAGGCACCAAAGCGTGCGCAACGAGCGGTTTGACGGTGTGGGGGATTGGCTGTTGGAAACAAGCTAGTTTCGGGACTGGAGGGGTAGCGAGGGTGGAGCTGATGGGGCCGTCTTGTTTTGCAGCGGGAATCCGGGAGCGGGCAAAACGTATGTAAGGTAAACGGCTGGATTCTCTGGAAGGGGGTGAAAATTGCTGACGGTTCGAAATACTAGTTCCCTAGTGATTGACAGCCTGTGCGATCAGGCATGGAAGGAGGATATCATCGTTGCAGCTTTGTACTGCGACTTCCTTGCTCACCAAGAGCAGACAATCGCCAACATAATGGGAGGCATCTTGAAGCAGCTGGTAGGGGGAGGGGATATCCCGGATTACCTGCGCGAGGCGTTTCATAAAGGGAAAAAGGAGCTTGGTGGCAGAGGGCTACGACTACCTGACCTCATAGGAATGTTGAGGATTCCTATTGCTTCGCTGCCGCGGGTTTTTATTTGCATTGATGCGCTCGACGAATGCCTACCGAAGCGCCTACCAGAGCTTCTCAGGTTACTTAGGGATATTATCCGGGAGTCCCCTAGGACGCAGATATTCCTCACCGGTAGACCTCATGTCAAGGACGATGTTCAAAGATGTTTCACCGGGGCGGTTGTGATACCCATTAGTCCTAATACAGATGACATTAGGAGTTATCTGCAAATGAGGTTGGACGGGGACCCCTATCCGGAGGCGATGAACGCTGATTTGCGGGCGGATATTACTCGAGTAATCCTGGAAAAGATATCTGATATGTAGGAGCATTTATCATTTCCGCTCTATCATGGATCAATACTAAACCGCAATTGTGTATAGATTCCTCCTTGTTTCGCTAAACGTTGACGCTATTTTGGGAGAGGTGACAATTCGTCAGAGAAGGAAGAAACTTGAAGAGATGACAAAGGGCAATGGGCTGAGCGATGCCTACACGGCAACTCTGGCCCGATTGAAGGCGCAGAAGGGAAACAAATCGAGGCTCGGGCTCAAGGTGCTGATGTGGGTGTCTTATTCGGAACGGTCATTACGGGCCAAGGAGCTCTGTCATGCCTTGGGGGTGCAGGTGGGATCTACGGATCTCGATGTCGAAAACGTTCCTGCATTGCGGACGCTCCTAGCATCTTGTTTGGGTCTTGTCTTTTAAACAACAAAGGATTACGGCAGCGATTTGGACAATGTTGACTCAAGCAGGGCAAAGATGTAAAGATAAATTTCAATATCCGAACTGGAGAAGTATTCTCGCAAAGAACAACAATAGGTAATAAGAAACGGGAAAGACTGATATGACCCAAATGCGAGTAACGGAGGAAAGAGAGACAGATTGGATAATGAACGAAAACAACTATCAAGGAAAAACAAGCTGCCTTTTATCCTTCCTGAGATCATATTGATCTGCTCCCACATACTTCCAGTGTATGCCGTGTTCTCTATCACGTTCAGTCTCACTATCGCCCATTTGTGCCGCTTCGGCCGAGGGTAAGTGAACTTGACCGAGGGTATGTTCTGACCGAGGATAGTCGGTATTTCCATATGATAGGGGTAGCCTCCTAACATGGAGTCGTCGCAGGTATCGTCGCAGATGTTGTCGCATATGTTGTCGCATATTGCGTTTGATGTGTAGGACTAACTAGTAGTCAAACATAGAGGCGTCGGAGTAGTTGATACCAAGAGGGTTAGGGTTGTGAAGTCGTTGCCATAGGGGAAACATGCGGTGAGCAGCCAAGAAACACTTCCGTCCAACATTGTCACGGTTGAGGCATCTTCGTCCACTGTCCGACTGGTGCACTTTACTCTGCAAGAGTATCTCTCAAGTGATCCAACCCTATTCCACAGACCCCACTCATCAATTGCGGAGGTTTGCTTGACATACCTCAATTTCGAATGTGTCCGGAATCTCTCACCAACACTTTACTCGGATCCTGAAACAACACCACTTCTAGAATATGCTTCCTACTACTGGGGGGAGCACACAAGAAGGGAGATTACAGAAAATGTGAAGGCGCTTGCACTGAGACTTCTTGATGGATTTGATGGGCATATATCTGCCCAATTAATGCTATCGCATTACAATGGGTATGGGAACATAGGCCCTTATTTTGGCGGAGCTAGAGGGCCTACCGGGTTCACAGGGCTCCATGGGGCATCATTTATCGGAATCGTGGGGATAGTTGCTGCTATATTAAAGATAAAGGAATGTGGTATTAATGCAACCGATAGCATAGGGATTACCGCTCTCACATGGGCAGCTCTAAGAGGGCATGAGGAGGTTGTAAAGATACTTTTGGGTCGAGAGGATGTCAATCCCAATCGGGCAGACACCGAATATGGCCGGAGGCCACTCGCGTGGGCCGCTGAGAAGGGGCACGGGGGGATAGTAAAGATGTTTTTGGAACGTGGGGATGTCGATCCCAACCAGGCAGACACAAAATATGGCCAAACGCC